AGGGTTTCCAAAAATTGTCATTGAGTTTACCTAAAACTCCATGACAACTTTTGAAGCCTCCACTCTGGATACATTTTTCAAGTTGCAAGAGTAGCTAAACTCTCGCGATTTTTTTTCGCGCAAAACATGTTATTATTAAAGGGTTTATCAGTTGGCTTTAGTTTAGTTATGAGCAAGGGCTAGGTCCCAGAAGAAAAATAGCTTCGCCAAAAAATGTGACTGGTTTTCAATTCAAAAGAATAGCAAATGCTTGTCACAAAAATTCAACCAGGTTTTGCTCCAAGACTTGCTAAGGAAAATTTGTCATGGAGTTTTATCGTGACCTCATGACAAAATTTTGGAGAGGTGCTACGCTGCAATGTTTGGAGGCATAAATCTTACATGAATATCACTGGTTCAAAAAGGGGTTGGTTTGTCATGGAGCTCTGTTGGGTTCCCATGGCATTATGTACTTTGGGTTTCGTTTTTAAGGCTGTGGCTCTCCTCAAAAGGGGCACTGCTTGAGTTGAGGGCTCGTGGTGTTCCATTTGTCATGGAACCCCAATGATACACCATGACAACCACATAAGGTCCTCGCTGTCCTTTTTTGTGGGCGGCTGCCCCCCAATAATTTTTGCAGTCGAGTCGAGCAGTAGTTAGTTAATAGTGTATCATGTTGCTTGTAATAGCTATCACTATCAACACTTGTATAATATACTTCCTGCTTCCTTTTTTCACAGTGGGCACATCAAACATTAAAAGCATCCTCTGCCAGCTTCAAAGCAGCACGCCATTCCATGCCATGGACAGCCCAGAGCCTTGCGCAGACCCTCCACTTCTGCCTGTCCAACATGCGATTCCTGAAATCCATAAGCTCAGCCGGCTTCAAATGCTCCACATTCAGTCGGACTTGATTCGGGACCTGGCCAAGGTTGGGCAGGCGAACTTTAAGACCCTGGCGGTGTTGTTGCGTTGTTTCTTTTTGTCTCACAAGACACCGGATAGACCTTAGCGCTTTGCTGAAAACGATGTCATGAACATAAAAACCACTTCAAGGTAAACCCCCTTGCAAGGCGCCCAACATGAAACAGCGTTCTTTCAAGAGAGCCAACAGGCCTAACAGCCTAACACGAATACTTTCAGCTCAACGTTGGCATTCAAAACGGACCCTCTTAGCAGGCTCAAACTAGAGTCAAGGGCTAGCAAGGATTACATGGGGGAGGTGCACTTGATAACCTATCTGTGTTCCATGCTGAGAGTCGGAGGCAAGTGGACACAGAATCATCAACGACAAAACAAAATTCGTCTAGCAAGTAATGGATTTTCGTGGGTAGTTTGCTTGCACCTCTGATGCTAGCGCAACACACATTGGGTCAAGAAGCTGCAGAAAGGTCTCTTCCGGCAGGAACATGAAAGGCTCCAGGTCCAACTGTGGGTCCAGGGGCGAAAAACCTGTCAGATCAAGTCAGGAATTGAAGCGCAGCTTTACACCTCCCATTGCTGAAGCTACAGCTGTCCTGTTACTTGTCGCACACATCACTAACATCAACGTTCACAGTTTCGCAGACGCGGCTAACGGCTAACGCCTTCGTGTCTACAACACGTCACGTCCCGGACTGCAGCCCAAATACGCCCCAATGGGCAAGGGAGGCTCGCGCGCGACAGTATCCTGCGCCAGCTCCGTCAAGTAGTTTGCAGCCGCTTCCAAGTTGTAGGGGTCCTCCCCTGGGCCATGTCATGCTTGATTACGACAGATAAAACGACAACGGGCAGATATAAATAGGAACATAACGCGAAACCAAGCTGTCCTCTCCCTGGTTTCGTGTTTTGTTCCCACATTGCATGTTCACTCCACATCCACCGCCTCGACCTAACATAATCCCAATTGGTTTGGGGCTCCATGTCGGGGCTTCCGCTTTTGGAAGCTACTTACTGACAACGGCGGCCAAAT